TGTCTTGTTTTGTCTCGCCCTTCCCCTCCTCCCCCTCCTTCCCATCCTCCCCAGCCTTCCCCTCCTCTCCCTTCTCCTTCCCCTCCTCACCCTTCTCCTGCCCCTCCTCATTCCCCTTTTCCTTCCTCCTTCCTACATACCCGCAGGAGCAAACTAACCCACAGTCACGCAACCGATCTGCTGCATCCTGACAGCTCACGGGCCACTGTTTGGGCCTTGGGAGGGCCCGCGCGGGCCTCTTCCAGGTGGCCCTCTGGGGCCAGAGGCTCTCTGGATCCGATGGCCTGGCTTGCTGGCAATGCGTCGTCGTCGCCGTCGCCGTCGCCGTCGCCGTCGCCGCCGCAGCAGCAGCCGTTGTCGTCGTCGTCGTTGTCGTCGTCGTCGTCGTCGTCGTCGTCGTCGTTCTCGTTGTCTTTGTCGACGTCGTCTTTGTCATTATCGTCGTCTTTGTCGTCCTCGTCGTCGTCTTTGTCGTCCTTGTCGTCGTCGTCTTTGTCGTCGTCGTCGTCGTCGTCGTCGTCGTTATCGTCGTCGTTATCGTCGTCGTTATCGTTGTCGCCGTCGTCGTCGTCTTTGTCGTCCTTCTTGTCGTCGTTGTCGTCGTCTATGTTGTTTTTTTTGTTGTCCTTGTCACGTTTTTTTCGTCATTTCCGTCTTCTTTGTCGTCGTATTTTTTTTCATCTTCTTCTTTGTCTTTGTCGCCATCGTCTTTGTCGTCTTCGTTGTCTTTGTCGTCTTTGTCGTCTTTGTCGTCTTTGTCATCTTTGTCGTCGTCTTTGTCTTTGTCGTCTTTGTCGTCTTCGTCGTCTTTGTAGTCTCTAGTGTCGTCTTTGGTGTCGTCGCCGTCGTCTGTGTCGACTTCTTCGTCGTCATCGTCTTCTATGTCGTCACCGTCGCCGTCGTTTATGTCGTCGTCGTCATCGTCGTCTTTGTCTTTGTCTTTGTCTTTGTCTTTGTCTTTGTCGTCGTCGTCTTTGATGTTGTTGTTGCTGTTGTTGGTGTCGTGGTGGTGGTGGTCGTCGTCGTCGTCTTTATCGTTGTCGTCGTCGTCGTCCTCGTCGGTTGTCGTCGTCGTTGTCGCTGTCGCCGTGGCCGTCGCCGTGGCCGTCGCCGTGGCCGTCGCCGTGGCCGTCGCCCCTGCCGTCGACGTCTGAAGAGGCTCATGCAGGAGGAGAAGAAGAAGTACGACCCTCCCATCATCAGACTGGCGCACTCGACGTCCACCCTCGACACCGAGGACCCGCGCCCCTGGGATGGGGGCGGCGACGGGCCAGAACGGGCCCCTCCCTCCGCTCCCCGCCCCGGTCCGCCCTCCCGCTCGCCCGCGGATGCACCGGTGCCGCGGCCCGGCTGCTGCCGGTCCCCGCTGCGGAGGCTGGCCGCGCCAGCGCACTCAGGACGGAGGTCGTCCGCCTCGGAGTGCCCCCCCTCCCTCCCTGCTTCCGCTCGTTCTTTCGCCTCCTCGTGCTCCCGCTGCAGCGATCGACATCCGACTGAGCGAGTAGAGAGGGGATTTGCTTGTCCCTCCCCCTCCGCGGCCGCCCCGTCCGGCTCGGCCCCCTCTCCTGCGCGCGGGGCAACTTTCGCTCCTCGCCGGCCCCGTTCCGCCCGGCCGCTGGGGCAGCAGCTCTGCCGCGCCGCCGCCGGAACCGCAGATCTCGGTCCGCCCTCCCACTTGCCCTCTCTTCCTCCTCCTCCTCCTCCTCCTCCTCCTCCTCCTCCTGGCTCCTCCTCCTCCTCCTCCTCCTTCCCCCACTCCTCCTCCTGCTCCTCCTCCTCCTCCTCTTCCTTCTCCTCCTCCTCTTTCTCCTCCTCCTCCTCCCCCTCCTCCTCGTCCTCCTTCTCCTTCTCCTCCTCCTCTTCCTCCTCCCTGCCTGCCCCCTTCCCTCTTTCTGACCCATCTCCCCCCGTCTCTGCTTTGTACTTCGGTCAGCACGGAGAGTGCTCAGTGCTGCTGTACACTCCCCCTTCTGGGCATTTCATTCCATTCCGTTCTGTTCCGTTCCGTTCCATTCCATTCCATTCCGGTCCATTCCGTTCCATTCCGTTCCGTTCCCTTCCATTCCATTCCGTTCCATTCCATTCTATTCCGTTCCCTTCCGTTCCATTCCATTCCGTTCCGTTCCGTTCCCTTCCGTTCCTGTTTTTCCGTTCCCTTACATTCCGTTCCGTTCCGTTCCCTTCCGTTCCATTCCATTCCGTTCTGTTCCATTCCGTTCCATTCCGTTCGTCCCCTTCCCCATTCCATTCCATTCCATTCCATTCCATTCCATTCCATTCCATTCCATTCCATTCCATTCCATTCCATTCCATTCCATTCCATTCCATTCCATTCCATTCCATTCCATTCCATTCCATTCCATTCCTTTTCTTTCCTTTCCTTTCCTTTCCTTTCCGTTCCCTCCGTCGTGATCTCCTATTTGCTCCCGCCTGACAGCCACGCGCCGCGGTCTTCGGCGGGCCCGTGGGGGAGCTGCCTGCTGTGAGGCCGCTCCCGCTCGCCGCGGACCTCCGGGCGCGCCGACCGGCCTGGCCATCTGTCGGGCCTGTCCCTCTACAGGAGGAATATTCGAAAATAGTCAGCAAATGATGCAGGGCCCTTTTTTGTAATACAAAAACATTCTTTGGCATTCTGGCATTTACTTGGACTATTTTTTATTTTTCGTCCAACATCCGCCTGTAGGGGGACAGGCCCAACCTTAGGCCATATCCTCGGGCGCCCCCTGAGGCCAGGGCTCGTGTGGATTCCTCCGATTCGATTCGGTTCGACTTCGATTGCTTCCGATTCCGATTCGATTCGACTTGGGATTCCGATCCGGAATCCGATGTCTCACTGGAGGCATACCAGCCTGCCGATGTCCGCCGATTCGACTGTTCCGATTCGGCTGCCGATGTTTTCCCCGATCCGATTCATGCCGATCGCAGATCCGACTTGTCGATTTGCTCCTGGGCTCTCCTGCCCGAGGCCAGGCTGTCAGCGCAGGTCCTGCGCAAGCGACCGCCTCCCTCCTCCCCTCTGCCTCCGTTGTCCTACCCAGCCCCCCAGCACGTTTTTTTTTTTTTGTTTGTTTGTTTTTTTGTTTTGTTTTGTTTGTTCACAGTTTCTGGACCCCCAGAGTTCTCGACCCGTTCCCCCGGGGCGGTGCTTTCGCCCCGGGTCGTGCTCGTGGCCAGCCCCCGGGCCGGGTGCGGTTCCGTCGTTCCCTGCCGCTGCAGCGGGAGGGCGTCGGGGGTTCGGACCTCGGAGCCAGCCCCCGGACCCGTCCACGGGGTGCCGTTCGCTTCGAGTTCCCAGACGCATCCAGCCGTGGCAGCGAGAGAGTTCCCGGAGGCCCCCCAAAAGGGCCCCGGAAATCGTGAGCCCAAATCCGGAGGACCCCCTGGAGGTTCCTGGAGGGGGAAGGGGAGGAGGCCGGTTGCGGGGGAGGAGGACAGGGAACCGAAACATGACACAAAAACAAAAACTCGGAGGTCCGCGCGGATTTCTCGGATCCGCGCTGGACCCCCCTCCCTGGCGCGCGGAGCGCGCTAGGCGCGGCGCCGCAGGCGCCGCCAGGGGCCCCCGGCGCCGATCCGTTCCCCTAATTAGGGAAGGGGGACGGTGGAGGGGGAGGAGGGGGGGGAGGGAGGAGGAGGAGGAGGTCAGTCGGGCTCATCTTGGAGTCGGACTCCCATGCTGTCCAGTGTGGGGCTTTCGCCGAGCACCGTGGGCCGAGCGCGCGCCCTGGCGCTCCTTCTCTCCGAAGGTGCTCTGCCGGAGGGGGCGGGCTCGTCGCTCGCAGCGAGGGCTGCCCGTGGCGCCATGCCAGCCCCTTGGCCGGCATGCCAGAAGGAGGAGGAGGTGGAGGAGGAGGAGGAGGAGGAGGAGGAGGAGGGGAGGGAGGAGGTGGAGCCGGAGGAGGAGGAGGAGGAGGAGGAGGAGGAGGAGGAGGAGGAGGAGGAGGAGGAGGAGGAGGAGGAGGAGGAGGAGGAGGAGGAGGGGGGAGGGGAGGAGGAGGAGGAGGAGGAGGAGGGGAGGGGAGGAGGAGGAGAGGAGGAGGAGGAGGAGGAGGAGGAGGAGGAGGAGGAGGAGGAGGAGGAGGAGGAGGAGGAGGAGGAGGAGGAGGGGAGGAGGAGGAGGACGAGGAGGAGGAGGAGGAGGGGAGGAGGAGGAGGAGGAGGAGGAGGAGGAGGAGGAGGAGGGAGGAGGGGAGGGAGGGAGGAGGAGGAGGAGGAGGAGGAGGAGGAGGAGGAGGAGGAGAGGAGGAGGAGGAGGAGGAGGAGGAGGAGGAGGATCAGGAGGAGGAGGAGGGAGGAGCGGAGGAGGTAGGAGGAGGAGGTGAGGAGGGAGGAGGAGGAGAGGAGGAGGAGGAGGAGGAGGAGGAGGAGGAGGAGGAGGAGGAGTGGAGGAAGAGGAGGAGGAGGAGGAGGAGGAGGAGGAGGAGGAGGAGGAGGAGGAGGAGCAGGAGGAGGGGGAGGAGGGCACGGAACGAACGATTCCCTCGAGCGTCGTCGGTCCTTGCCACCTTCGGGCCATGGGTCACCGAGCGCACGCCGCCTTTCGGCCAGCATGTGTGTTTCAGGGGCAGCGATCGGGGGGGTAGGCGGCAAAGGGGGGAACAGCATCGACCCCCAATCGCCCATTGATCGCCGACCGGGCCCGATGGCCCCAGCCTGCCCAGGAACGTGCGGATGCACTATCGGGGGCCTGTCGCCGATCTAACGGCGACGTATCGCCGATTCCAGGTCGATGTTCCCCCCGTATCCTTATCCCTCCCCTATCGTTGCACCCCAGTGTTCCAGGACAGAGCGGGCAGAACAACGGGCAGAAGCGACGCCCAGCTCCAGAGAACACCGAGACTGGTCGCGTTGAGGCGTCCGCTCGGGGGCCCAGCTGCGGGTGCCCATGGCCTGGCTCACGACGCTCATGGCGGCGCACGCGAGTGGGAACGAGCTCTGGGACACCACTGGCAGGATCACCACGTCCATGACGAGCAACAAGTGTCGCGATGGCCGCTGCACCTTCCATTTTACTACGCCCGACCCGGAGGGGAACAGCCAGCGGCGGTTACTGGGTGCGGAAGGGAACACAATCAAGAGCAAAATCATTGCGTCCATGTCCGGGCTGCACCGCCCTCACGCCAGTGGCAGCTGGTTGTCAGAAGCCGTGGAGGATGCTGAAGGCATCTGAGAGTTCTCTATTTTTCCTCTGCTCACGCACCGTCTGGTGCAAGGCTTGACCTGACCTGACCTGACCATGTCGGGGCGCTCCCCACGGTGGCGAAGTGCTCGCGGGCAGCTGAGCTGCAAGCCCGCCTGGGGCAGCGATGGCAGCGGCGATGCGCTGCGAGGTGCTGCGGATGACAGCGGCGGCATCGGTGCGGATGGCTGGCGGCCGGGGGGCTCCAGCTGCAGGCAGGCCACAGATCAGCGTACAGGGCTGGGACGCAACGGGTTCGCATTGCAGGACGTTGTCCGATGTAGTCCATGACAAACAACGTTTCCACAACAAAAAGAGGACAACACACACACATCACGATATGAAGCTGGTCTTTCCGATTGCCATCTTTTAGTATGTTTGGTGCATGACCTTGTTGTTACATTGCTGGTCAGGGTGCATTGTTGGTCATTCAGCCGTTACGCTCTGCAGAGACGTGAGGGGACCAAAAACATCGGCTCCCCGAGGCCGCACTATATGCTCCAGACAGCCACAAGTTGCCACCAACTTCCAGTGTCTCTCAGTTTTGTTTTCTCAGGCTCTTCTCCGTGTGATTACTTCGGAAGCGCTGTATGGGCCCCAATACGGCTCCGCAATGCCGGAGGACGGCACAAAATCGGCTACAGAACTGTCCAGGAGGACCGTTGGACATCCCAAGTGAGCGTGCGGATGGGGCAAAGTGACCCTCAAGGTGGCCCCAAGAGAGCACTACCACGCTCCAAGCGAGTACCAACACATCAGCAAGACGCGCCATGACGGCTCGAGACGCCCCAAGAATCCCCGCATAGGCACCCGAAAACCTCCAGGAGGACACGCCCCCCAGACGCCACCTAGCGACCCCCAAGACAAGCGTTAGACACTCCAGGAAGAGTCCCAAGAGACCCCTCACTCCAAATTCAATACCCAGTCGCGACGGCCATTGACAGCTTGACAAACGAGAAAACGAGGAGTCCGATTGGCGTACCGCAGTCAACAAAATAGTACGGCCTGGACTGTGCCGCTTGTTTTCTCCCCTCCTCCCTCACCTCTCCCTCCCTGAATTGTCTGCAGGTCCACACATCGCATTCCATGTGGCGCAAAGCGTCCGAACAGTCTGCATGCGGCCCCTTCTCGAGTAATGGATGCGTCGTTGTTTTTGTGCATGTGCCTGGACACACCGCCACCTTCTCCCGACATGTTCCTTCCGATGCTTCGCCCGGGCGCTGCTCTGCCTGCCTTCTTGTCGTGGTGGGTCCCCCGTGCGCCCGAAGGCAGCCCCGCCAGGTGTCCGTGGGGCGCAGAGGTGTTGCGGGGTGTTTTTTTTTTTGAATCCTTCCTCGGTTCGCTCCCCACGGCCTCGAGAGCGCCTCGGGGAAGCCTACGTAGGCCTCCCCAACAGACGCCTCTTCTTGCGATGGCTTGGGAGGCTCTTCGGAGGCTCCTCAAGCGTGCGCGAGGGGCGCGCGCGGGTCTAAGTGAGGTTCTTATTTCCCGGCTCCTTGCTTTCCTGGGCGTCGACTAGCGAATTGGCCGTTTTCGGTTCGCGAGAGTGCGTCGTGGCTGTCATTTTTGCGGGTCCAGGTCCGTCGGTTTCGGTCCTAGGCCGTTTTCACCAAAGGGTGGTTTATGAAAGGGAGGTTTGTCCACCACCGATACATTGGGGCTCGCGTTGTTGGAAGTGTATGTATGCAAGACGATGTTGGACGTGTGGAGTGGGAGGTGCAAGCATGAGGAGGCAGGGAGGGGAAGAGGGAGAGGAATATTACGGAATGGCTTGAGAGAGCAAAATGCCCAGTTAGCATTTAGGATGTGTGGCATGGATGATGGTGGTGGTGGTGGAATGAATATGATTATGATGCTGCTGCTGATGATGATATTGATGCTGAAGATGCAGATGATGACGACGACGACGACGACGACGACGACGACGACGACGACGACGACGACGACGACGACGACGACGACGACGACGACGACGGACGACGACGACGATGATGATGATGATGGATGATGATGATGATGATGATGATGATGATGATGATGATGATGATGATGATGATGATGATGATGATGATGATGCTGATGATGATGATGCTGATGACGATAATGATGATGAGGATTATGAGGACGGTGGGAGAAAGAGGAGGAGGAGGAGGAGGAGGTGGAGGAGGGGGAGTCGAGAGGTGGAGGAGGATGAGGAGGATGAGGAGGAGAGGAGGAGGAGGAGGAGGGGAGGAGGAGGAGGAGAAGGGGGAGGAGGAGCAGGAGGAGGAGGAGGAGGAGGAGGAGGAGGAGGAGGAGGGAGGAGGAGGAGGAGGAGGAGGAGGAGGGAGAGAGATGGAGGCAGGGATGGAGGGAGGGGGGAGGATGAGGAGGAATATGAATACGAGGAGGAGGAGGAGGGAGGCGGAGGAGGACGAGGAGGAAGAGGATGAATAGGAGGAGCACCATGGGGTGCCGCACCTCTGACCAACATGAGGAGGAGGAGGAGGAGGAGGAGGAGGAGGAGGAGGAGGAGGAGGAGGAGGAGGAGGAGGAGGAGGAGGAGTAGGAGGCTGCAGAGGACCTGGACCCGGATGAGCTGGCCGTGCTGAAGGAGGTCGGCAAGAAGGGCTACTACCACGCCAGGCCTGCAACCCAGGAGTCCAGCTTCTTCTTCCCCCTCCCTCCTTTCCCCTTTTGCCCTTCCGCTTCCTTCCTCCCTGCTCCCTACTCCTCTCCCTCCTCCTGTTTCCTCCTCCCTCCTCGTTCTCCTCCTCGTCCTCCAGTCCTTCTCTGCATCGAGACCTCCTTCCTGTCACGCCTTCCAGAAGTGGAGGGGGGCGGTTCTCCAAACGGGGCTCTCGCCCTAGCGCCACGTACGTTCGTTTCAAAATATGGTATACATCGTTATTATTATCAACATGGTGTTATCATTATTTTTTCATCAGAAGATGAGGGGGGATTATCATCATCTTTTTCATCAGCATTATTTTTTTCATTCCATCATTCCAAAAGATGGTATTATCATTATTTTTTTCTGGGGGGGGGGTCGTTTTCAAAATGGGGCTCTCGCCTTAGCGCTGCGCGCATTCGTTTGCCACTGCGCAGACGTAGAAGGATGGTGGGCAGTGCCGGTTTCAGTTCCTGCTCTCGCTTTTTAGCGCCGCGCGCGTTCGTTCTAAACTGCGGCAACAATTGCAAGGATGGAGGGTGGGCCTTTTCTGACAGTGGGGCTATCGCATTAGCGCCGGGACATCTATGTCAACGTGTTGCGACAGGTTCAGAGACGCCGTGGAGTCCTGTTTCAAGATGGAGGCTCGTGCCGTAGCGCCGTGCACACTCGTCTTAAGCGTTTGCAGGAACTGCAGGGCTCGAGGGCGTTTCCTTTCATCATACGCGGCCATCGCTTGAGAAAACTTAGATTTTTTCTACCGGAAGTTATGTAGCACCTTCACGGATGGAGGGCGGTCCGTTTTTTTTTCGCCGAGCGCGTTCCATTACTCGCAAAGAGCCTACTCGCAAACGTCCGAAAAACACCTGTCTGCTTCGACTCAATTTATCGTAGATGCCCCGCGGCGGATACAGGCCATTTGCGAGTAGTCACTTTGCGAGTAGTCGAACGCACGGAAGGGGGGCGCTTTCTGCTGGAAGCGAGGCTGCTGTTGGGCACACCGATAAGCTTTATGGTCCTAGCTTGTCCTATCCCCTGAACTTGCAAGGATGATGCAACGGCAGTTGGTTTCCAAACAGGGGGCTCTTGCGTGATGGGCAGGCGCAGGGGTCGTTCCTGTGGTGAAAAAGGAAGGGTGAAGAGGGGACTCCGGACGAAAGGGTTTATTGCGGCGTCGTTGGTGCATGTTGGATTTGCTTTGGTCTTCATCTTCCTCTTCCTCCTTTTCCTCCCTCTCTTCAGCTTTCCCTCCTCCCGCTTCCCTTATCCCTGTCTTCTCCTTCCACCTTTTTCTCTTCCTCGTCATTGTCGCCGCCGCTTGGCTGTCATGGCCGTTGTCATCATCTTTGCCATCGTCGTCTTTGTCGCCGTCGCCATTGTCGCCAGAGTCATCATCGTACCAGCGCCCGCGCCCGCGTCACAGGAGGCGCCCCCGCCGCAGAGGATAGAGAACCCAGAGGCCGCAGAGTTCAAGAGGGTCACCTTCAACAGGCCTCCTCCCCCTCCGTGGCAAGGCTTGTGGTTTGCGCGTGCACGGCCAGCTAGCGTCAGCAGTCGGCTGCTCGGAAGAGTGGCCCTTCGCCAAAGCGGCCTATGGGATAGCGCCGATTTCGCGTTGATATGCGTCGATTCACCGTCGATCAGCGTCGACTAGTGTCGTTTGGCATCGATTCGCGAGAGCCAGCAAGACGCTATGGGAAGCTCCCATGAGCTGCCGCAGAAGGATACAACTCTTGGGAGGTTATGTTCAGCATGGTCTCTGGTAGCTCCATTGCCGAAGGCTGGCTCACTCGGGCATAGTCCAGCTGAGTCCAGTTCTATCCCTCTTGATCCGGCCTAATCCGGCTTGATCCTGGGCTAGTCCAGTCCAATTCTTTTTAGGGGCGTCTAGTGGGTCGGGCTTAATAGCCCATTGATCGTTCTCGCGAACATCTCCCACGAGTTTCCTCCCAAGAGGCTCCCATGCTGCCCAGAGGGGGCGGGGCTGCGCCGCAGGGGCTGAAGGTCAGCAGCCCGAAGCCTTGCGAGGAGGAGGAGGAGGAGGAGGAGGAGGAGGAGGAGGAGGAGGAGGAGGAGGAGAAGGGGGGAGGAGGAGGAGGACGAGGGAGGAGGAGTAGGAGGAGGGACGAGGCGGAGGAGGAGGACGAGGAGGACGAGGAGGAGGAGGAGGATTTTTATTCACATGACCACCATTGGTGAGCCGTCTTGCTTCGCCAGCCGAAAACGATGGACCCGAGCGATGGCACGTGCAAGACAGCCGGCACCCAAGGACCAGGAACTAGTCGGGGTCGGAGGATTCCGCTCGGCCTGCGCGAGCAGCTTGCACGAACGGAGACCTCGT